AATAGCGGGAGGACTTGAATTAATTTTTATTTTCCCTGGTGCCTAAGCCTTCATACCTGAAGGCCCTGTCTTAGTTTGCTAGGGCTGTAATAACAACATGCCACAGGTTTAAACAACAGAAATTACTTTTCTTATGTTCTGGAGGCTGGAGGTCCAAGATCAGGTGTCAGCAGGGTTGGTGTCCTCTGAGGTCTCTCTCCTTGGCTTGCAGATAGCTGTCCTGTTACTATGTCCTAACATGGCCTTTTCTCTGTGTGTACACATCCCTAGTGTATCTTTTTGTGCTCAAACTTACCCTTCTTATAAAGAGACGGGTAAGTTTGAATTAGGGTTCACTCTCATGGCCTCATTTTAACGGAATCACCTCTTTAAAGGCCTATCTCCAAATGCAGTCACATTCTAAAGTACTAGAGGCCTGATGCACGAAATTCATGCAAGAGTAGGCCTTCCTTTCCCCAGCTGCCGGCACTGGCTTCCCTGTGGCACCTGGGACCCAGGCTTCTCTCTGGCCGCCAGCCGGCACCCGGGACCCGGGCTTCCCTCATAGCCCCAGCTTCCTCTGGAAGGTCATCCGGAAGGACGTCTGGTCTAATTAGCATATTATGCTTTTATTATTATAGATTAGGATTTCAACATGTAGATTTGGGGGGGACACAATTCAGTCCATAACAGCATGCCTCTGCAGATTCTTGCTGTCTGATTGCCTTGTGATTCATTGTGTGGAAAGCAATATGAACCACAGAGAAAGCCAGTGACCATTGGGCCCTCTACTTCATGAGAGAATGCCTACCTCAAACCAAGAGAGAAGTGGAAGTCTTGGGTTCTGCACCCCCTTATGCATACCTGCACTATATTGCAGAGAGAACCTCCTTTCATGGCCTTCCAGGATTTGGGGCATCTCCCTGACAGTGTCTACTAGAGACAGCTCAAATGTCTCTGTATTTTACACCTTAGGATCACATGGGAAAGATACAAACAATGACTACCAGAGGCTTCAGACTAAGGAGTCTTCAAAGATCTCAGGTTGCTTTTATAAGCAAACTACAATGTGAAAACAGAGTCAAGAGGAGAGGAAGTAAAAGAACTCTGCAAGGCTCAGTTAGCAGCACTGTGAAAGTTACTGTTTCCTGTTTGCTAACAAACCTCATTCTTCCACAGGAGCCTTGCTCAGCATTAACAGGTCCTGTTTGCCAGTGGCTCTGGGTCAATTTACTGAAAACCAGTTGTTTCCATTTCACCTATGTAGTCTGGGCCAATCCCACCCCTTCCCTTCTTGTCCTTCTCAACAAGTTTCTTCATTGTTTCTAATCCTTCCATTGTCATTTGTTTTCACTTTCCCCAATCCTTTCAAGTACCTCTTGGTTTCTCAGGCCTTTGTCACTTTCCCACTTTCTTTATCAATCCTGGTCCTAAATCACTCCCAGAAGCACAGATCCCTCCCTTTACACCCCAGTCTTTAGCCCCTCGCATTAAACCCATTTCCTCTAGTCTAGACCCTCCCATTACATCAAGCATGTCAAACTCACAGCCCGCGAGCTGCATGCGGCCCATAACAAATATTTTTGTGGCCCAGCCAATATAGTGGCATGTAAGAAATGTTTTAATAAAAATTTTGTAACTTAATTTTTACAATATCCTGTTATACATTATTAATAACGAACTACAACGTTCGCTAATGACTGATTACTATAATCGTGTTGCATTCATTTCCCTTACGTGCCTTAAAAACGCAGGCGCACCATTTCTCTCCACTAATACTAGCAGTGAATATTTTAGCAGCCGATTGCCACGTCATTAGTCTTGTACTGACTTGTTTGGTGTGCACAACAGGAAATACTTCGCTTTCAGAGAACAAGAAAAATAGGTTCATTTGCGTTATGCTTATTAATCTGTGCAGTTATTCAGTGTCTGGTAAGGTAATGTTCAAGAAAAAATATTAATTTTTATTAAAATGTTCTATTATTTAATGTTAACGATGACTCATTTATTTCAGCTCTTTGTATTCAGCATGACTCTATTGAAATAAACCTACGTTTCTATAAAAATTGAAGCTTTTGTTTTTTTGCGGCCCACATCAACTTAAACCTTGTTCATTTGGCCCGTGTTAGCCTTTGAGTTTGACATGCTTGCATTACATCCATTCCCCTAGCACCTCCCACTAGTCCTTGACTCTCCCACTACCTCAAAGGGAACACAGGAATTTTAATGGTGATAAATAAAGTCCAATTGCCTATCGAAAACACTGTACCAATTTATGCTCATATCAACAGAGAATTATATGAAAGGGCTTGATCTCAGAAACCTCTTTACCAACACTATTACTCTTTTATAACTAGCTGATAATATTTTTGTGAAAATAAACATCTTACTGCTGTTTTATCTTGTAATTTCCTTACTAGTAATGTTGAAAATCTTGTCATATGTGTTTTGGTTAACTGTATTTCTAATTCTGTGAATTGCCTGTTCGTATTTGTCCATTTTTCAATTGGGTTGCCTTTTTCTATTGATTTATAGATTTTGGATTATTAGACTCTTATCATTTATATAATCTCATGAATATTTTCTCCTTGATGTCCCTTGTCTTCTAACCTCAGGTCCTTGAGTGAGACCGAGGGCCTGGAACTCTGCGGGGTGAGCATACAGGGAGAGGTTTACATTTAACAGTGTAGTGAGCCTGCCTTTGTATCTGTTGTGGTTCCAGTTAGAAGGTGCTCAGATAAATTCCTAAAAGGGGTCTAAAATGGATTCTGAGTGGGGCAGTTTTCAGAACTGGTGGACTGGCAAGCCCAGTAGACATCTGCTCTTATGAGGGTGTTAGGGGAGAGAACTTGGCATGCGATATGACATAGGACAGATGTTGGTATCTTGCCTGACCCTAGGGAAGACAGGGACTAAGCCAGAAGCAGAGAACGTCTTTTTATGAGGGATTTTGTGTGGCTTAAAATGGCAGTCTTGTTAATGTGGTGAGATTGCCTATGTAGCTAGAGGTCTGGGGACTGGTTCTCAGGTTACAAGTAAAATATCACAAACATGTTGCAGACACAGATTCAGAGAGCCATGAAATGTGCACAAAATTCTTTAGAGCCAAACAATGCACATTCACGTCCAATATACCGGAGGAATATGCTGCAAAATAGACACGATGCTTACATAGAAGAAGTGGACTCTTCTTCCACGTGTTCTTTTAATTTTTTTCTTATAAAATATTTCACACCTCAAATAACTTAATATGTAAGAGATAAAGAAGGCTAATAAACATCAATCATCTGGTTTGAGACAGAACATTATAAATCTCTTTGAAGACCCAGGTATATTTTTTTATTTAATACAATAAACTGAAAACTGAACACCACATCTTCACTTGGTATGTCATTGGCAGAGCTGCACCACATGCTCATACCAACACATATTATTTCAATGGTGACAGGACCATCAGGATTGCTTACACAAGAGTTTTTTAAATTTTTTGGTTTGCAGACCCCTTTACATTCTTAAAAATTATTGAGGACCCCAAAGAGCTTCTGTTTATATTGGTTATATCTAGCAGTAATTACCATATTAGAAATTAAAACAGAACATTTAAAAATATTTAATTCATTTTAAAAATCCAATAAGAAATCCAATACATGTTAATACACATGTGCATGCACACACACACATTAAAAACACACACACATATTTTCCAAAACAAAAAATAATTATTGAGAAGAACCTCACTGTTTTACATTTTTACAAATCTCTGTTTGGTTCGGTAACTGCTTCTGCATTCCAGTCTGTTCTAATGTTGTTTTGGTTGAAGTACATGAAAAAAATTTGGCCTCACAGGGATATGTAGTTGGAAATGATAGGAGTGTTTTAATAGCCTTTTCTGATAAGTATGGATACTCTTTTTTGATACTATACCAAAATATAAAAACGACAGCTTCGTATTGGTTAGTAGCAAGGTGGAATCTAAAACTATATCAATGAGCTTTTCAAGCTGTTACAACAAAAACCCACTGGGCCATTTTGAATTGGAATATAGTTTTTATCCCTGCATCCTGGTTTTGTCATTTCATGAAGGTCGTTTGGAAAACACTGGGTCACTAAGTGACGTGTTATTAAAACATGTCCACAAATTCTTGGTACCCTTCCCTTTAAGAGGCAGAGCGCATTTACCCTCTCCTCGAGTGTGGGCTGTACGTATGACTCACTTCTAATGAACAGAATGTGGTGGAAATTACACAGTGTGTCTTTGGAGAGTACATCATAAGGCTTCTATTTTCCTCCCTCTCTCTCGGGTCACTTTGCTCCGGGTGAAGCTGGCTGCCATGTTGTGAGGATACTCAAAGCCCCATGGAGAGGTCCAGGTGGTGAGGGACTGAGGCCACTTGCCAACAGCCATGTGAGTGTGCCTCTTGGACGCAGATACTCTAGCTGCCTGCAGCCAAGCTTTCAGATGACTGCAGCCTCAACAGACATCTTCACTGCAGCTGCAGGAGAAACCCTAAGTCAGAACCGTCTACCTAAGTCAAATTCTTGACTCACAGAAATTGAGAGATAATAAATGTTTGTTGTTTTAAATCACTATGTTTGGAGTAATTTGTTCTGCAGCAACAGATCTCTGAATTATGCAGATCTTCCAAATGTTGACACGTTATTCAATGTAAGAAAAGAAAAAATCACACTTGCAGATATCATCACCTAGTTCATCAGAAGAATCTTTTAAAACATTGGGAAACTGTCAAGTTATGCGGCAGATGTGGTTTTCAAAATTCTAATTTATGCTTGAAAGACCAAATTTTATCATTAGCAACAAATAATGTCAGTTATTTCCCTTGAAGTGACAATCTCATTTTGTTCACTTGGTGGAAAATGTCTACCAAACACCAAGACCAAATAATCACTGTCAGTCATCCGAGTAAAAGAGGTGTGTTTTGGGAGTGTAGTTCAGCTGGCATATTGAACGAGCACAGGATTGCTTTTTGCCAACCAAGTGATACCTATGACTACCTCCACAGGAGGAGGAATCCCACTGCCAATAGCATAACAATACCTGCCATCAGGACCAGCAGTGCCAGGACATCGACCCACTCCATAGGCTGCAGGTGTTGGGGTTGCCAAGGGAGACAAGACTCACACAGGCACCGGATGGAGCAACACTTGACTCACCTAGAGAACAGAAAGAGCAAGATCAGCTTCAATAGTGAGTTTCCCCCATGGCCTGCATGCATGCACTGCATGTACTGCTCTTTGGCTGCAACTGAAGGACCCCCCCCCCCTTCCCTCCCTACTAGGAACAGATAGAGCAATAGGGCTGGTCAGGTGCCATATGACACACATGCTTTAGCAGAAGGAGGAAGTACACATCAAGTCCAGAACAGGGAAAGATGACCCCAAAGAGAGGTGGCCAGCACGGGCTGTGAGAGCCCTTTCTCTTGGTAAGGAAATGCTCTAGGCACAAGGCATATTCTTATGCAACTGTACAGGGGTTGAAAGACTGCATACGTGGTTGCTTTTCCCAGCACTTTTCCTCAAGACAAATATAGAACACTGGTCTGCAGCAGACTCGCTTTACGCCTATTTTTCATCCTGCCACACAGAATATGGAAGGACGTGTACTCAAGGTTCAAAATTTAGTATAATGACTACTTTTAACAGCTTCACTAAGGACATTCTTAAGTGAAATTGGCTCTCCCTCCCTCCAAGAGCATTGGTGAAAAACACAGTAACTGCAAATATAGCTCAATGCCATTGCCTTGATTCATGCCAAGGTGCCAGCAGTTTTACATACCATTTTATTTATTTAAAAAGTTTTCTTTATTTATTTATTGATTTGAGAGAGAGGGAGATTTGTTGTTCCACTTATTAATGCATTCATTGGTTGATTCTTGTATGTGCCTTGACTGGGGATTGAACCCAACTTTAGTATATCAGGACAATGCTTTAACCATCTGAGCTACCCCACCAGGGCCTACATACCATTTTATTATTATTATTATTATTAAATATATTTTATTGAT